CGAGGCGGGCTAGGAGTGTGTCTCCTCCCCGATGTGCCTACGCCATAGGCGGTGGACGCCTGTACCAGGAAGGTAATGTGTGCCGACAGCTGTAGTATACAGAGCATGTATCTCTTGGACCTGTTGCAAAGAACTTGTAGCTACTATATCGACTGGCTTCACTTTATATGCAGTAAATAATCCCCGCACAATGCACACGAAATACAAATGAAATTGGTATTTGGTTGGCTTCATGTTATTAATTCGATTGTAATTGTTGTCTAAATCTCCCGTCCATTTCTATCGATATAGGGCATACCCACTAAGTTTTTTTTTTTTTAATGTACAAAAAAAACACTATCGAGCTATAACACAAAACAAAGAAAATATATTCATATATTTTAAGACAAATATAAAACACATTTGCTTCTATGCTGCAACATGACGACAATTACAGAAAACGTTTTTTTAAAATTAAAATAGTTTTCATTGTGAGAGAAAAAAAGGCTATTGTTCAAGTTGCCGCTGACCCTCATTTCCCCCCCCCCACCCTCCTCCTTCCCATTCATACTTTCCCTCCCTTTTGCCCCCCCCCCCTCTCTCTTTCTCTCCCTTCCTCGTACAATCACATCCCATCCCTCCTACTCCCCCTCATCGAGAACATTTACCCCCTCCCTCAACAACCCCATTCAACTCGTCCCATCACCTCATGAATCTCATTTTTAGCAGAATCGCAGCCAAGAAAACAATATTCAAGTAGTAGCACTAAAATATACATGTAGTTTCAATATCACTAGTTAGTAACCTCAGTTGAGTTGTTTCGTAACCTTAATTGGGAGATTTAGTTAGTAGCTTTAACTAATAACGATATTTAATAGCTTTGATATTTTGTAACTGATCAATTACAAGGTGGGTTAAGAACCATATCCTAGATAACCGGCTGCCCAGGCGAAAGACGGTGGTTAAAGCCAGCCAGATTGGTGAGTAAACATATCCGTGGAGATTCGCAGTCCCCATGGGGAAGTGGTAACACACTTGCTAGGCATATCGGAAGCGCTCAGACCTTGGTTCGTATCCTGGCCGGGGGAGAATTTACTGGGTGCCAATCCTTAACTGTAGCCTTTGTTCATCCAGTAGTGTATAGGTACCTACAGTCCGAGTGAGAATGGTCCAGGACGGACCGAAACGTTGTCGTCCCTTCACTTTCTAGTGTGTGGCTTGGTCAACATATTTCAGCCACGTTATTGTGACTCCTCGTCTCCATATGGGTAGTAGTTGGCATCCATCAGTCTCAAGAGACTATGGAGTTGCGCTCTGGTTGTCGGTCTGGAGTGGCCTCACCAGAGCGCAAAGCCAGGGTAGGTTGATTCGGGGGAGAAGCTGTTACCCAGGCAGCAGGTCTTCCCTCTCCACGGCGCTGAAAGTACCTAGTTGTTAAACTATATAACGGGTCGTTTTCCGGGGAAAATTAAGATTAAGGACTTGCCCGAAACGCTATACGTGCTAGTGGCTGTAAAAGAATGTAACAACTCTTGTATATATATAAAAGATAAAAGGGAGAGAGAGACAGAGACAGCCCGAACAAGCAGTGAAGGAGTATCTAAAATCAATGCTTGCACCTGGTCTCCTCCCACTTGAGTGAATGGGTCTTCGGCGGCTCCAGAAATCACTCGTCAGGACATTCTCCTTTTAGATAAAATACAGAGAAACACATCATTAAACATATTTACCTTTTTGTTGCTAAACCAAAACACAAAAATTGCGCTGTGCACAAGAGCACAGATAAGAACACAGACAGGCCCACTCGGACTAAAAGTTCGCAAAGAAAGCACTTATAACATTCAACGATCACTCGTGGCAAGCAATGTGTTGCATGAAATGCAAGATGAGTGCTGGGTCATGAGGCCGGATATAAGGTAATGGAAATAGGTGCTGGGTCATGAGGCCGGATATAAGGTAATGAAAATGGGTGCTGGAGCAGGAGGCCGGATACAAAGTAATAAAAATGGCGGAAAGGAAAGACAGTGTCCGGATATAAGGAAGACGAATTCAACAGTCAAACTCATTCGGAGGTTTCTGCCAACAGCGCCCAAACATATCCCACACGCCACACATATACCGAGTTCAATCAGCGGAATATGAAAGGTTAGACAATATAAGCAGGCTATACTGACTTCGGGAATCTGAACTGTAATCGAACGCAATCCTTATCTAATGAAGCAGACAAGTATACCACATGGTATAACCCAAAAAAAAGAGTACACCAACCAAAAAAGTAAACCACATAAAATAACCAAAAAAGAGTACACCACATTGTATAATACAAATAAATAGTAAACCACAAGGTATACTACACCGGGAGATATAAGCATCGCTCAGTATACATGCCAACTGATAACAGTACTCCGCACTACCCAAAATATCACAATATTACCTTCACAAACAGACGTTAACTAAGAGATTTATTCATGAAATGTCGTCACTCTTTGTAGGGGGAAGAAAAGCTATTTGACTTATCAAGGTTTCTCAAGGCCTTGACATTTTCCAGAATACAACCCACAACAGTCGCCTGACTCCCGTGTATTCACTACGAGGGGGGGGGGAAGCAGAAGCATTGGTTTAAGGAAACGTGCCCAAACGATTTTGTTTTCCATAAAACCTCACCAATATACAGAACAACGACAGATCGTCGTATCCACAGGAACCAAAGTATTTGTGATTCAACCGTTCAAATTTTAGTTTCACCAAACATGGAAAATCTTCTAGGGTCTATGGCCTGAAGAGACTATAGGGACCCCATCCTTCCGCTATTTCCCGGTATCGGGCAGCTGGGGAGCATCCGATCCCACGGAGCATCTATATGGACGCATAGAGAGAATCTCTACGGATCAAACGAAGGATAGCCCCCATAACAGCAGAACTTGTTGGAACCACCGCCAGACTGTCAATCAAAGACCGCATACAGAGATCGCTTCAGAAAAGCCTTCAATATAGAACAAGTACATGGATGGATAATCTGGTCAAGATTCTAGAGAAAGTGGACTTGAAATGGACCATTAAAAACAATAGGGAAGATAGACCATATGAACACTTTTGGCAGCCTCCTCCATGGAAAAGAGTCGAGTCTAAAGATAATCATTGAATGATTACCAGTTAAAAAATCAGCATGTGACTCGCAGAGGCTCAAAGTAGTCATAGAGCAACAAATGGAAACCATCTCAAGACCTACAATGACTGACATCTTCACAGACGGATCAGTTGATCAAGAAAGAGGTTCTGCTGAGGCAGCAGTTTACACTACCATTCATAAAGCTTACTGGAGCATTTATAGTGGGTGCTCAACAATACAAACAGAATTATATGCCCTGAAGGAGGCCGACAATTGAGAATAATTTACATGATGTCATCATTCATACCGACTCTGAATCTTCGCTCCAGGCATTGTTATCCAGTCAGCAGAGAGATAATTTTCGATTCACAGAAATCCAACATATAGGAAAAGAGACCCATAATCTAGGGCTGTCAATCACCCTAAATTGGATACGAAGTCACATTGGCATAGATGGTAATGAAAAGGCAGACTCACTAGCAAAAACTGCCACTGCTCTACCTGTTGTACAGGTTCAAATACCTCCAAGTTTTTCACAGATAAAAGAGCAAATAAAGAAGAAAATACTCTCAACTATCAAAAGTCGCCAGAGCCAAAGTAGCGGAAGGAAGATCCACTGCGATATGGTACGAACTAGCCACTCGTTACTCCTCTTTCAAGCCTTGCAAAAATATATCCAGAGACATTACAGTAGCCATACACAGACTCAGACTTGGTTACCAATGCTGCTGAGAGGTAATGAACACAATAGTTAAAAGGTGTCATATCTGTGGAACAGAAGCAGAGGCGCCACTATTGCACTACTCATTGGAATGTGAAGCTACTGAACCCCTGCGCATCAAACTCAACATTAATCCAACGACGCCAGCTACATTAGATGCACATTCCACCGCACCTACAATGATTAGAAAAGCCATTGAGGAATGGGACTCACTAGTGAGCATTTTGCATCTACATCCGCCACCAAGATAATGTTATTAAAACAAGGCTAAAACCAGTGCACTAAAACAGAAGCGAAAAATAAACTGGAAAAACGGAGGAATCCCCACCTCTATTTGAATCTTTGACCCAAATATCACAGTAACAAGGTTATCGCGAATAACCGAACTCAATTACGGGCTCACCATAGCCCGTGCTACATGAACACTTCGTTCTGAGTAGCTAAATCTAACACAACAACAACGTGTAAGTTTCATTGCAGATGGCATCCGAAATGACTACCAGAACGGAACCTACCCACATCGCCAACTTGGACCTGTCAGGTAACGTGAAACACGACATGAAGGAACTGCAAGATTCTCTTTGGAGCGAAGGCAAGAAGCTCGACCAGACCCACACACAGCCTCGCTCCTGTGCCAGGTAAGTCCACTACGGGCTCACCATAGCTCGTGCTACTTGGAACTTGTTCCGAGTAGCTGAATCTATAACAATAACAACAACAACAAGCTCGACCATGTTGCAGCCGATGCAGACTGATGAGAGTGTTAGGAGAATTGGTCAGTGGGAGTTTACAAAGTCATTAAAAGTTCAACAGATTATGTTATCCAAACTAAGCTGCTTGTTTATTAGCTTGTGAAAGAAACTATGTTAGGTTCTTGGATTTTAATATATTTGTTACGAACCCGATGAAACTGTTGACGTATGGAGGAGCGACTTCAGCACCATTTGTGAGTCTGCTCTCAAACCCCCATGGAATTGGACTCTACCTGGACAACGCCATCTATTGGGGGTGGCGTAGTAGGTGTAATTGGCTCAAGATTCCTGCCTTGAGAAACCAGTGAGGTGGTAGTGAGTGACCTCTGGTGATAAGGCAATTCAAGACCAGCGCCATCTGTAGTTACTACGAGAATAAATGTCAATGTCCAAAAGAGTAAGTTTTGCTTCCTAATGTCTCCCGTACCTTAGAACTGATGACGTGTCTGTATCCACAGAAGTGCCGTGGGGCAGCAGTGGTACTGTGGATGAAAGTCTACCTTGAGCAGCCTGAACTCGCCCAACTTAGTCCCGTCTGACAACTAAGTGAGCCGCCGCCGATCAGAAGTGTTGTTAATAATAGTGGAGTAGTGGTGGAAGAGTTCGTCATATCCCGGGACTGGCGAAGGGGAGAGACGACAGAGAGTAAAGTGCCTGTTGAGGAGCGTTGCTATCCCGTTGCTAGAGGCTTCTGCCAGGGGTGCGACACCTCTGTAGTTGTCCGTGTAGTAGGACCTAATCAGCGCGTGGCTGAGGTTCTCTGCCAGCGCTTGGCTGCAGAGTGGTTGTTGGGTAGAGAGGCACTTCGTGATAATGTTGGTAGGCTCGCGGGTATTTCCTGGTACTGTGGCTAGTAAGGTCGGAAGCGGAGCCCGAACATTAACGAAGGCTACATTATATTCGCGTCATGAGTGCTCGGTCTCCTATATGAGAACGGCACCTATATATATTTCTAAATAGAGTAATAATTCCGTTTGTTAATTTATGGTGATGGGAATATATTGAGTGTTTAGCTCTGCTTCAATACCCCCCCCCCATGCACCTTTTTAGGTTTATTACACTACCTAATACTCTTTGAAGGCCAGTACCGACTTGGGGTCGGATACTAGCATTTTGCCTCCACCATCAAAGAACCCAGTTGCGACCCATAGTGGCCATAACATTACTGAACATAATAAAACTCGCAAGTGATTTATCTGCGATAAACTATGGAGGGACTACAAAGGGATTTAACTCTCGTCCCTCGACACGTACTACCAGTTGAACTAAGAGTAAAGAAATATCTCTTAATAGTTTCTTGAAGTTTGGAAGGTACCAACATTAGCGACAGTATACATGTATCAGTAAAACTTTTAAAGATTAAAAAAAAAATCCTGAATTTGCATATACATAGGTAAAATAATAAATTAACATTTTTATTTATAATTTCACAGATGGAGCGAGGTAGATAAGCTTCTTGACAGACGAGGCTGTTGCGTACATCATTAGTCAATTGATTGAACAGTTCATGGTAAGTACAACAACCTCTTACCTCTTAAATTGATCAATAAATGCAAACTAATCCTCCACAAATGAAGATTAAAATTTTCAAAAATATTCGATTAATCCTCGTCTCTTTCGTAGCACTTAATGTCTACCACAATCGGTCAAAAATTTAACTTGATTGCATCTATTAACCCTATCAGAAACGTTAAGAACATAAGAATAAAAGTAATTGCAGAAAGCCTATTGGCCCATACGAGACTGCTCTTGTTCACACCCACCCAATCTCATTCATAAATGTTTAACCTACGCTTCAAACAACAAAGGTACTCCTTGTATTGTAATGCAGTAATTAGCTCTGCACAATTTCAACAATGTTACCGAACTACTATTCTCTCTACACTATGACAATAACGTGATGCATCAAATGAACAAATCCATAAGATCGTTATGAGGGTTCGAACCTACGTTTGGGATCCCAGACGCGCCTTCTCCCTGTAGAAACTGCGGGAGGCTTTTAAGGGCAGTGGCACCCAAAGTTGCAATATTTTTACCCTGTTGTCGCATAAGGCGCGTCTGGGATCATCCCAGAGGTAAGTTCGAACCCTATTCACGATTTTTTTTGTATTCCTTCGCCTTTCTAGAGATTGTAATTCAGGCTGTCATTCATCAAATGATTCTTATATATTATTATTCATGCACTGTATCCATATTAACGTGTTCCTTCTCTCTTTGGGAAAATACAGAACCTGCAAGTAGTGTTAGATGGACTGAGAAATTTCTACGAAAGTGTCTTCTATGTGAACGTTCTAAAGTCACCGAAGTTGTTTGATCTGGTGGGGGGAGCTAGTTGACCTCCTGGACAAGGTCTAAGATTGCAGAACTACAGTTTCAACTCCCGACGTCAGCTTATTTAAGCGTAGATGAACTACCCAGAATGAACTACCTGCTGAACTCTTTTAAGAGACTGTGTTCTCTCGCAACATAAAGAAATCGTAAGAGATCTGATAAACTTTGCAAGAGATACACCGCCGAAATAAATGTCGGTATCCCAAGAGTGGGTTTAAAGGTGTATACTCCGAAGCTGTCGCATCTACGAACGTAAATATCAAACAAACTCTTGGATAATACCCAGCATCCCTTGGATAAAACTATTACCCTGTTCCTATATTGAGGCTCGGATGACTGAAACTAAAACACAATCTAGACAGAGACGCAATCTACGACTAAAAAGCTTGTTGATTCCTCCTAGGAGAATGAAATAATTGAAACAAAGATGACGACAAAGCTTCTAATTATAAATTATATGTAAATTATAATTAATTTGTTTTTAAAGTAACGCATTGTTAGTTCGATGACAAGTACTAAGACTGAATTTGTCTCTAAAGTGTTTTTTATAAACATGTTACAAAAATTTTATCTTCATGTTATACAAATTGTATTTTATCATTAACTTTATTGTATATAAACCAGAAATCTCTTTTTTCTAATTGTGCAATAATGTTTATACAATAAAATCGGGTAGTAAGTGATGAAGACATTCATTTATAACTATCATTTTACTTGCAATGGGGAAATGTTTCCAAATAATAACTTGATTAACTTCTGAACTTGTTGGATCCTGCAGTCGGACACAAACCAGGGTTTTACACAACTCCCCTATGCACTCGAGCTATATCAAGAGGCCGAGCTATGGCCTATGCCATCTAGCTATGTCAAAAAAGTGTCTGTCATCCTAATATGTAACTCCTATTATAGGATCATTTGCTTTAAAATTTAATCTTTTCCAAATTGTTTGTGTAGCTCGGTTTTGATTCCCACTGAGACTACATTTCAAATTGTCCCCAACATAAATGGCTACTCCACCCCTTTTCGTCTGTGAAATGGTTTAAATCCATTTTTTTGATATTCGGCTAATGGTTCTCTATTTTTTCTACATTCATCAACGTTTCGGTAAGTTAAATATATTTTTCTATACAGACAAGAGCACTAGATTCTTTTTGTTTCTTAGACTTCCACTGTTAGTGTAATATACCCAAAGTTCGTTTATTTATATACACGTTATATTGGGGGTTAACAGAATAAGAAAATAAGTTGAATTAACGTTCTAGTAAAGCCACTAGCACGCATAGTTTTGGGCAAGTCCTTTAATAGAAAAAATTGATAAATTAACAGTAAAATTGATGATAAAATGTTAGCAGGTCTTTAGGTAACTGCAGCGCAGTTACCGTTATTCTTACGTTATGTTTTTATAATGTTTCGCGGTAATTGGTTCCCCATATCAACAACCCTGTTACTGAACCAATGTTTACTTGGTCCTTGCCTATTAACATTACAAACACTCTTAATACTTCGGTACTCTAACTATTTTTTTACATAACATAAGAACAAATGCAAATTGGCAGAAGGCCTATTGGCCCATACGAGGCGGCTCCTATTTATATCCACCCAATCTCTCATGTCCAACCCACGCTTGACACAATCGAGGGACACCACCTCATCCACGAAGATTCCGTCCTCTGCCTCTGGGGGGCGTGGACGTCGGGCTCTGGCTGCCAGTAGCTGTTTTTCGCTGACTGGTGGTGGTTGCTCGTTGCTGTGGGGCGCCAGCTGACTGCGGCGGAGGTCAGCAATATGGCGGCGGCTGGTGGTGGCCGCATCCGCCGTGTGAATACTGCTCGGCTGGAGTTCTCTGCACCGGTGGATTGGGAACTAGTGGCGGCTGCGCTTTTGGATGTCCTTCAGGTGGATGTTAAAGATCTCCTCGGTCTCGAGAAATTTTCTCCCACTCGCGTGGCGGTGACGTTTGCCACGTCACCTGGATACGAGCGGTTTGTGGGGTGTTGGAACGAGCGGACGACTCCCCTTCCTCATTCGGCTGTGTCTGTGACTGTCTCTGATCCGTGGGGTCCACTGACCTTTGTGAGCGTGCACGGGGTACCTGTTACGTTTCCAGAGGTGGAGCTTTCTTCTGTGTTTACGAGGTATGGTATGGTGTTGCGTCATCGGTACAACTTGTTTAGTGCCGGGCGGCTGCGGGGCCTCCGGCTGGGTACTCGCACGCTGCATATGCGCCTCAAGGAGCCCATCCCCTCCAAGGTTATGTGCTGTGGTCTTCCGTTCCGGGTTTTCTATCCAGGGCAGGCCCGCACGTGCTTCCGCTGTGGGGAGGAGGGCCATGACGCTGCCCAGTGTGAGATTCCTCGACTGGAGACTGCTTCTGTATTCAGTGTGGGGGATTTTCCCCCCCTCCGTGAGGATGGTGCATCCCTGGCTGGTCCTCGGCGTGGGGGTGTGAATGGTGGTGCACCTGCAACTGTTGTGCCTGGTGGTGCACCTGCGACTGTTGTGCCTGGTGGTGCGCCTGCGACTGCTGTGCCTGGTGGTGCACCTGCGACTGCTGTGCCTGGTGGTGCACCTGCGACTGCTGTGCCTGGTGGTGCACCTGCGACTGCTGTGCCTGGTGGTGCACCTGCGACTGCTGTGCCTGGTGGTGCACCTGCGACTGTTGTGCCTGGTGGTGCACCTGCGACTGCTGTGCCTGCTGGTTCGTCTGTGCCTATCGTGTCTTCTGTGCCAGCTGTGGTGGAGGACGTGGCTGCTCCTGATTCCCGTCTTCTACTTCCGGTGGATGTGGAGGTGCATCCTGTTCCTGGTGCTTCGTTGGTGAATGGGCGAGGTGTTGGGAGTGTCGTCTCGGTGCCTCCCGTTGTAGGCGATGCTTTCACTGAGGGTGATGGGAGCGTCGTCGTTGGTGCCGGCGTTCCTGTTGCATGCATTGCGAGTCCGCCTTCTGCTCCCCCTGCGGGTGAGTGCCATGAGGGGGCGTTGACCTCCCATGCTCCTCGCCGGAAGCGCGTTGCGGGGGCGCGCTCACGCAGTCGAGAGCCCCCTGGCAAACGGATTGAGGCTTCGCGGAGTTGTGCCTTGGGTGGTGCCCCCCCTCCTCCTCCTAATTCTCCTGTGTCTGATATGGATTCCGGAAGTGATGCAGTGCCGGTTGGCAGCAAGAATTCCTCGTCGGTGGTGGACGTTGGTGATACCTGGTCAGTGGCAGCGGGGTCTCGGCGTGCTTCGCTGGGTGATGCCGGCACTGTCCGCCTCCTGCGGGATCAGAGGCCAGGCATTATGGTGGATTCCCCGACGGTGGAACGGCGGCAGTTTGAGCCTCAGGATGCTGACGGCGCCTCTGCAGTGGGTGGCTCTGTGCCCTCTGGTGGTCCTGGAGGGGCTAGGGGTCATTAATGGGTTCGATGGCGCCTGCTATTGTTTGTGCGTCTTTGAATGTTCGTGGTCTGAATGCTTTGGCGGTCCAATTGGGCCTTGTGGATGTGCTTCGGGAGCAGCGGGTGGATGTGGCTCTGATCCAAGAGCACAATGTTCGGGATGTGTCTGTGTTGCAGGGGTTGTGTGCTGAGTATCATGTTGTGCTGAACCCGCCGAGGACGTCCTTTGGGGGAACGCTGATGTTGTTTTCGCGGAGGGCATCCATTTCCGTGCTTCACAAGGAAATGGATGAAGATGGGCGGGTCTTGTTTGTTCGGGCTGAGTATTTGGGGGTTGTGATTCCGTTCTTGACAGTGTACGCCCCTTCTGGGGTGGCGCATCGTCAGGACCGGGAGCTGTTTTTTCGGGAGGGGCTTTTGCCATACCTGCGGCATGATACGCGGGATTTGATCTTTGGGGGGGATTTTAATTGTGTTACGTGTGTGAGGGATTGCTCTAGTGCTCACCCTCGGAATGTTTCGGCCGCTTTAATTGAGGTTTTGCGTGCGTGCGGGTTTCGCGATGCGGCTGTTTTGTGTGGCGGCTCGTTGGAGTATACCTTCGCTGCGCGTGGGGCGAGTTCTAGGTTGGATAGGTTCTATGTTTCTGGTGGGGAGTGTTCGGTTTTTGATTTTCGCACGGTCCCGGTGGCTTTCTCGGATCATTGTATGGTGGTTGTCCGGGTTGGTGTCCGGAGTCAGGTGCGGGTGGGGCCTGGGTGGTGGAAACTCAATTGTCGGTTATTGCGTTGTCCACGTATTTGTGCGCAGTTTCGGGCCTGGTGGGTTGGCATCGTTGCCCGGAAGGCTGATTTCTCCTCTTTGTTCGTTTGGTGGGAGTGGTGTAAGGTGGAGTGTCGGAGGTTTTTTGGGATTGTTGCTAAGCGGGAGGCTGCCGGGAGGTTTGGTCTGCTGCGGTTCCTTCAGGCGCGTTTGTCTTCTTTATATGTGCGGTTGAATGCTGGGGTTGACTGCTTTAGTGAGATTGCTGAGTGTAAGGAGCGTATTTGTGATTTGTGTGCGGTGTTGGCTGACGGTGTTCGCGTGCGTGCTCGTGTAGCTGAGCGGGTGGATGGGGAGAGGCTCTCTCCCTTTCTTTTAGGGAGGGAGAAGGCTGCTAGGGGTTCCGTTCTTCTCCAGGGCCTTCGGCGGCCTGATGGGTCTGTGCTTTCTAGCACAGAGGGTGTTCTGCTTACCGCACGGCGGGAGTTGGAGGCACTCTATGGGGAGGTGCATGGTGATAGTGTGCTCGCGGGTTCCTTTTTGGACAGGTGCTTCCCCGGTTTGTCGCGCTCGGAGTGTGCCCGGTTGGTGCAGGATGTTTCCACGGTGGAGCTCCTGGAGGTGGTTCGGTCGTTTCGTTCTGGGAGAGTGCCGGGTGCGGATGGCCTGCCCATTGAGTTCTACCTTACCTTTTGGGATGTGCTGGGGGGGGGGGTGCTTTTGGAAGTGGTGCAGGCGTGTTTGCGTTTGGGTGCTCTGCCTGATTCCTTCTGTGACGGGATCGTGCGGCTACTCCCGAAGCCGGGCGATTTGCAGTTGTTTTCCAATTGGAGGCCTATTACGCTCTTAAATGTTGATTATAAAATTCTTTCTAAGGTTTTAGCGCGTCGATGTCGGGGTGTCGTTGCGTCGGTGGTCTCTATGGAGCAATTTTGTGGTGTGCCTGGCCGTGCCCTGATGCATTGCAATGCCTTACTTTGTGACGTGCTTCTCTATGCGTCCGAGTATCGGCTTTCGGCGGCTATCAGCTTGGACTGGTCCAAGGCCTTTGATCGGGTGTCTTTAGAGTTTGTTTTTAGT